AAAAAAAAGAAGGAACCAGAACACAAAAATCAAAAACACTGAAGGAAACACAAAAAGAACGAACAAAAACCCTTTGTCTTCTCTCACATTTTCTGAGGATTTCAGAGCTTGGTAGAGCTTTAGAACTTGTTTCGGAGCTAAGAGTTTGATTTAAATTCAAATCTCTGTTCGATTCCGCTGATTTTACTATTTCCGGAGCTGCTGAGTTTCAATCGCTTGCTGCGACTACTGAGCTTCCTAACTTCTTTTCTCTGCCTTGTTTGTAAAGAGCTACTAAAGAAGTGGAGAAATCTGCTGTAGAGCTTATAATTTGTTTGAGGAAAAGAAGAGGAAAGAAGGGCATGTTGCTCTCGGATTTGACATTGAATGAAAGCCCAGCTTTAGAAAGGTCAGTTTTTTTTTGAAATCTTTGGAATTAATATATTGATGGTTATCAACCTGTTTACCTGAAATAAATGCTCTATTTTGTTTCTTTATTTTTTTTCCTTTCCTAGCAGATTAACTATATTTATCTAAAATGCATTTTTTTTAATTTGGTCAAAATACTGCATCAACTTTGTTCAATTAAACTCATAAGATATAAACGATGTGTTATCAAATCTTATGCATGTAGCCCTGTATTATTACCGTATTATGGCTGCCATTTTTATTTAGTAGTTTAAAAATTGTTGAGAATGAAATATTCATATCTTAATAACATCAATTTATTTTCTTTTTAGCTTCATCTTCGCTGACTTTGTGTTTTGCTTTGTAAAGGTTAAATCAATTTATGTTGAATATTTACCTTCCACATGGAATGAAGAGAAAATGCGTGACTACTTTGTCAAATTTGGTGACATTGAGAGTATCGCTCTTGCAAAAGATATCTTTTCCAATGTTATATCTATAATTCGTGGCCTCGAAATAATCTCAAATTAGCTTTAGAAAAATAGTTAATGAATCCCGTAGTTGCTTTAGGCTCGGTTTTAATTAAATTACCTTCTTAAACTCGGGTGCGCATTGATCTCTGGTTCAGGGTTCAAAATTCGAGCTTAGATAAATTGCTGTACTTTAGACGCGTTTAATTAAATAAATTGTCATAGCTATGGGTACGATTCCCGTGACGTAGTTGTGGTGCCTAATTTCTAAATCTGGGGGAACATTTAAGTGACCAGGCCACAATTTAATCTTTTTAATAAAATAAATATGTTGTGGATCGTGGGTACGGTTCCCGTGACATGATTCGCAACGTGTAATCAAATAATTAGTTGTTTCACAATTTGATTATTAAAAGTGGTTTAAAAGGAATAAAAATACACATAGGTTTCAAAGATGTTTTAAAATCAGATAAATAGGCCAATAATAATAGTTGAGCGACCATGCTAGAACCACGAAACTCGGGAATGCCTAATACCTTTTCCCGGGTTAACAGAATTACTTACCCGGATTTCTGTGTTCGCAGAACATAAATAGAGTCACTTTTCCTCGATTCAGGATTTTAAACCGGTGACTTGGGATACCATAAACTATTCAAGTGGCGACTCTGATTTTAATATAAATAATCCCGTTTTGATTGTCACTTAAATTTGCAAAAACTTCCTTATACCCTTCCGGGGTAGAAAAAGGAGGTGTGACCAGGACTTGTACACATCAAGCTGAGCCTCGGCGTGAACCCTCATCTCATACAATTCCCGCGACACCACGAGGTCGGTAGCAGTATGAGACATATATGGTTGTGACTGCCGTCACACTTCCTCAGCCTTCAGAACAACAACCTACTCGTTCAATACGGACAACTCCGCCTCCAGATCTTGGATCCGCTCTTCTAACCTCGCTATCTTGAGCGCCGATGTCTCTACCTCATTATCTCGCTCGGACCTACCAACATAGAGGGTATCATCTAAGATAGCTGCTTCAGACGGAGGGCACCATTTTGCCTTTCTCGACACGAGTCAATTCATCGTCCTTAATGCTCAACTCGCCCATTTGGTCGACAACCTCCGCTTCCATCCTTCCAAGCTCGGAAGTTAAGAAGGCCACCCGTGCTTGAAGGTCGGCAATCTCAACCATCACCCCCTTGCTCACATCAAGCTCATCTTTCTTGGCCTTAAGAGTCGCGTCAAGCTCACTGCACTGACCAATGGCTTTCATTAGCTCATCGTCCCTCTCCTTTACCTCATCAACTTTCCTCATCCACTCCTCCTCCTTCTGCTTAAGCCCGTCACGAAACAACTGAAACTCGCTATCTTGGTTAAAGACGTCGACAAATGTTCGGTGCTTGGTACGGTTTGTACTTGGAGGACACCTTTTTAAAAACAGCCATCCTCCACTCCTCCCGCTGGTCATGCTCGATCCCCATGATGAGAGCCTGACAGGCCAAAAAAAGAGAGTCAGAGTAAGCAGATTACGCATGCAAAATAAATCCTGACATAAAAAAGCACTTACTCGCAAAGACATGCTAGAAATACTCAGCGATAACTCTACATCGCTCATTGCCAATAACCCTGTGATCTCAGAAGCCGCGCATAAGGGAGCAAAGGATGACACCATTCATTTAGAGTTAGCCAAAAGGTCATAACCCACAGGAATGATTATGTGCCGGTTAGGACCCTCCGTCCTCACCTCCACACGAGTATTCCTCTCCAAGAATGCACGCACCTCTTCAGGATCGATGTCCGAGCCGGAGCCATCGTCCCCTGTAGGTATCGCCCTATCCCTCTCCACCACCGATGACACACCACCTTCTACGGTCCGTACGATCTCCTCGCCGTCATGCATCCACTCAGCCCTAGAGGGCCTCCCCTTCAAAACACTATTCGTCGTAAACCTGGCCCGTGCATTTGGCATACACGTAGACGCTACTTTCGGAACAGTGAGTTTATCCGATTCAATATCAGTGATTATGGCCTTCCCGAGTTCCATCCTTTGCCTTTTCCTCGATGGTGACTACTCTCCATTGCATGACTCATCTACAAGATGATAGATGGGTTGGGAAGAGATCTCATCCCGCATAACTGTCTAAGGGGCCAAATCCCCCATCGACGGAGTTTTCAGCACGACCTCTATGAGTAGATTCGGCCAAAGTAAACCACATCCCAGCCGATGCGCCAGATTGGTGAAATGCCGGTACTAGAGCCTTCTTCGTAGAGACTCGTCGACCTAGCACCAAAAGGGGATCGCGTCAATGAATAATGGCAAACGATAGAAAGATGAAGCAAAATAATACTTACTAGATGGGACCTTAGGCCCCAAACACTCGTAGAAAGCCTGCCCAGTCGCGAATCCCCACCATGTGAGGCAACACACGAGTCACCCAATCTTCAATATCAAGGACAAGAGAGGGAGCACGCCTTTCAGCTGAAGAACAAATCAGCCACAATTGAGCTAAAAACAAAAAGACGATTGAAGACAACAAGCACATAATAAAAACACTTACGATTGTGATTCTACTGCTCAAGAAACCTAGTCGGGTCCATCACCAAGTGCTCGATCTTGATAAAGAAATATTTATGCCAGAACATCCAATTCGTTCTATTATCCATTATGACCACCAAACCTTTGGTCTCACGATACCGTAGGTGTATCATGGTACCTCTATAAAAACCAGGTGTAAATAAGTGCAACAAGTGATGAAGATTAGCCTCACAACCAGCCAACTCTACGTACTTCGTCAGCATTAAGAAATCTTTACACAAGTAAGGAGAGAGTTGAGCCGAGTAGACATTGTAAAACTAGCAAAATTCCTCCACTAGAGGAAGGAGAGGAAGAGTATAACCTATCAAGAACTGGTAGACATAGAAGGCACAATACCCAGGTCGGTAGACCTCCACAATGTTGCCACCGATGGGAATTATCTTGACGTGGGGAGGGATGCAGTATTTAGACCGAAGCTCGGTGATATGAGATTGTCCAGTCTTAGAGAGCACGTGGGCAGGGGCAGGAGCAGATTCCTTTGGGAAGTCGTTTCTAGGCAAACGATTTCTAGGAACTTCCTCCTCCGCGGTAGGAAACTTGTCATCTTCCTCAGCCACGAATTCCTCACCACCGAGAGGAGGAGCCACCTATAACAGAGTGGCATCAAAAGCGTCATCATGAATGTGAGAGGATTGTGACATATTTTGACAGTAAAACGTACGCTACCAGGACCAGAAAAGAAGATAACAGTTGGGTAAGGAGGGAGAAAAGAAATTGGAGTAGCAAAATTTCAGTGCAGAGATCGGGGAAGAAGATCAAAGAAGAACAATGTTCATGCAAAGTAGAATATGGTGGAACCTCCAAAAAATCAAGCCTCCATCTATTTATAAGGCTGGCTGGCACCAAAATCGAAGAAGCAAACCGATAATGGCACAAAAATTGAAGCAACAAATTGACAATGGCACCAAAATTGAAACAACAGAGGCACAGGCGCTGCCTCAGGAAGACACGTATTGATGACGCACATGGCTATGACATCACTCCACACCAATCGTAGCCTTGCTGGTTACGCCTCCTCTCTTTGACCCTGGTTGCTTCAACCCAATCACTACGACCGAATTTCTTCTTAAACAAACAATAATCAAGTCCTCTTCTCGAGGGCGTGCAAGATCACGACCCCAACAAGCGAAGGGACTAACTGTATTGGTCAAAATTTGGCAACTCGGTAGCTGAAGATAAGTCGTGCTAAGAACGGGGTCGACCACGATATTATAGCGAAGGGGTCATTCTCGTAAGGGTCATTGCCGAGGACAAGTAACTGAAGTTGCTATTGTAGTGGTAAGACTAGCTTGGAAAAGGATACCAACAATATTCCCTTGGATATTCCTCATATTGTACTTTTTAGGGTTTCTTGGGAAGATCTCTTATAAGTAGTAAGAGATAGAGAGCAAAAGAGGGGACTTCATTTTTCTGATAGAACATATTGTGAAGGTTGACAAAAGTGAATATACAAAAGTAGTCTTATTCACTGATTATATTATTCAAGCACACGTTGATTCAATCTTTATTCGCAAGATCCAAAGATTCTATATCCATCTTCATTTTTCACTTTTCTATGTTGCTGACAAAAGAAAGAAATATCACAATCATACAATAATTGGGTGGTAGATCCTTTCTTATTACACTTATTGTCACTATCTACATTTAATACATATTCATGTTACTATATTCATTGTTAATCATTGATTATTAAATCTGTTATTTAATGCTCTTGAACATTGTTCATCTCGTGAGTATCTTGTTTCATTTGGTCTAGAGTTTATTAAGTTCAAGTAAGATCCGCCCTTTAATTCATCATTAATATCATTAATTGTTTAACACTTTTTTGCTCAAACATTCTCTTGTTTGATTTTAGTTCCAAGAGCCTTTTGTTTGACCTCTTTCATTTGGGAGGTGGCTTCTTTTCTCCATAACATTTACGATGGGCTTTAAGCTCTTGGATGGTTAAATGCTAATGAGATCTTGGAGGCATAATAAGGAAAATATTACTGATCATTGTGTCCTTGTTTTCCTTATGATCACATTATTCTCGACTTCGTGCTCCACTCCCTTCATATTTTTCAATCCATCAATACCATGTGGCCGTGGAAGATTCTTTCATAAAATCAAGTTAAAAGAGTGATTTGGTAAAAAATGTCTTAGCTGCCTATGGTCTTACTCAATGCACATATCCACTTGAATCGTTTTGTGTAAAAGAATCCTAGGCTTCATAAACGTGAGAATTGACTCACAAGTCATCCCCAAGAGAGGAAGTTTTTTGTATCTAGAGTCAGTTATCCAGTTAGCTGGGGAGATTGGCGAGGATACCATGCACCGTATAGGGTGGAGGGATGAATCTTGTGTGACAAGAATGTGCCACCAAAACTTAAAGGTAAGTTCTATATAGTAGTGGTTAGACCGGCCATGTTGTATGGAACAGAGTATTGGCCAGTTAATATTTCCTGTATTCAGAAGATGAAAGTAGCAAAACTGAGGATGTTGAGATGGATATGCGAACACACTATGCTGGATAAGTTAGGAATGAAGATATTCGGGTGAATGTGGGTGTGGGCCACATGGGCAGGAACTGAGTCTTAGATGGTTCAGGCACGTGTAGAGGAGAAGCCTAGATGCTCCGGTAAGGAGGTGTGAGCGGTTGGCTTTGGCGGATGTGAGAAGAGGTAGATGACGGCCTAAGAAGTATTGGGGAGATGTGATCAGGCTGGACATGGTGCGACTTCAGCTTTTCAAGGACATGACCCTTGATGGGAAGGTATGGAGGTCGAGCATTATGGCTGAAGGTTAGGAGGTAGTTGGGTGTTTTTCTACTTCGTACTGCGTGTGAGGCTAGTCTGATAGTGTGTTGTCTTAGACTGCTAGTGGTTCATATTGTTTTTCTGTTTTCATAGTACCTTGCTATTATTACTGGTTATTGATATTGTTTTTTCCATCTATTGACTTGTTCGTACGATGCTGGTATTGACTTTCCGGCCTCTATTGTTGCGACTAATCTATTGTCTCTTTTTGTCTTCTTGAGCCAAAACAACCTCTCTACCCCACTGGGTACACTATTACCCTCCGAGACCCCAATTATATTGGATTGTTGTTGTTGTTGTATAATTCCTCTTTCTTGTTTAATCTTTAATTCTATGATTTTTTTTTTTGACCTCTTTCAGTTGGGAGGTGAGCTTTCTTATTAGAAACATTTACATGGGCATTATTATTCTTGGATGATTTAACGCTAGTGACATCCATGAATAATAAGGATCAATCATGAATCATCTCCCGTAGTTCAATTGAAAACGTTTGTATTCTATTGGTTAGTGTGGGGTTGGGGGGAGGGACATGGTCAAATGTGTCTTTTTAGATATCAAGGGATTGATAAAAGATTTATGGGTCATTTTTTGCAAATTGTTAGCGCCTCTTTGGATTGTCTGATATGATTGCAATGTAAGATATCTGAAAACCACTTCATATTCTTCATGTATCAGTGGTGGACCTTTTCGCTCTAACAGGAGTCAAGTGGTTAGTGGGTCAATTTTTTGACCCTTTCTAAACTCTAAAGAAACTTGAAAGCTGTATTTTGGAATCTGTTACATATTGTTGATGCTCTACTTGGGAAAACCTCAAATGCTACATGAATCTGGTGCCTCTGTAGATCTCTATACTTGACGAAGTAGACATTGTACCGTCACCTATGTTTAGGCTGTTATATGTGTATACGATCAAAATCAAGAAGTCCGATGTCGGAACCTTAAATTGGGCTATGAGTCTGAGTTCGGGCAACTCGAGGTAGAGGTCAGATCCGGTTGGAGGACACGCACTTCGAGGAAGCAGATCGAAGACTGGACTCGACCTATAATCGAGGTCAGTACAATCTCAAGGGCACTTAAGAAATAGCGGTAATTTCTCAAGGACACATGGGTCAGGGAATAAATTAAAGGATAAGATTTGTACGAAATAGTATAGGTCTGTACTAGGCCACTATACATATGTACCAATAGAATTCTGTACTACAATTAGTAATGTACTATATTGCGGTTTTCTCCTCCTATATAAAAGGGGACCCCAATCACTTTTGCAAGGATCATCTCACATTATTCACTGCAATAGAATATTCTACTCTGCTTTTTTTGTTTAATATGCTCAACAAGTGTTTTTCAGCTTTATTGCCCTTACTTTGTTATTCATACTCCATTGTTCTTAGCTGAAGTCGAGGCCTTCAAGAAAGTCAAGCTCGAGGTCCTCATTATTATAGCAACACTGATTTGGTTCATCAATTATTCTTATTTAAACTTAATATTACTTGTTTATTCACTAGTATTAGAATAAATCACATATCTTTAAAACCACAAATTACATTTAATCATTACCTCCATTTTTCGAGGTAAACAATTTGGTTCCCACCGTAGGGCTAAAGATAATAGTGATTGTTTTAGTGCTAGTTTTTTGATAACACACGCTATTCTTTACACTTTTTCTTGTCAAAGATTCTTTGATTATAGGCTTAAACATGTCTAGCACACAAAACGCGCCTAGTCATGACAGTGAAGGTCTAGGAGAAAACAGTGTTGTAGGGGTTGGTGTACCACCCATAAACCTTAAGGTAGTGCCGAATGTGGAGCCAGTTGATATCAGTTTGCACAACGCTCTAAACACGGACGCATGCACAAACCCCGGAAGGAACGCACACAGGGAAGCCCGATCAGGAGGACAAGAAATGCGATGGATGGAAGAAGGAGGAGTCAGCATCCAAGTGATATTCGAGATGTTGCAAGCTCAGCAAGTCGCCATCACTTAGTTTCAAAGTCGGAACAGAACTCCTAACACAGTCGAACCTGTGAACACTCGTCGTGCAAAATAAATAAGTCCCATTGAAAATAGCTTGGGGACTGACCCCGCTATTATGAAAATGCTCGAGTAGATCGTTTAAAAGATAGAGACCGGAGAAAAGAAGATTGAAGAAAATAACAAAAAGGTGATACAACTCATGGGTCGACCAAATACCTGGAGCACCTCCGATTTTAAAAGGAATGGACTCGAAGAAGTTCGTGTGAAAATCATTCCCCCATGTGCGGCTCCAAAGCCCATCCCCGAGAAGTTTTGGATGCTAGATTCCCCAAAATACAATGGAACCACTGATCTCAACAAGCACATTACCACATACACTTATGGAATAAAAAGTAATGATTTGGAAGCGATGAGATTGAATCCGTTTTGCTAAAAAGATTTGGGGAAACTCTGTCTAAAGGTGCCATGATTTGGTACCATAACCTACCCCCAAACTTTATCAATTCGTTTGCCATGCTGGCAGACTCGTTTGTGAAGGCACATGCTGGTGCCATAAAAGTTGTAACAAGGAAATCCAACGTATTCAAGATAAAGCAAAGGGAGAATGAGATGCTGAGGGAGTTTGTATCCCTTTTCCAATCAAAACGAATGGAGTTATGCCAATCTCTGATGACTGGGCCGTATAAGATTTCACTCGGGGACTAAATGAACGAAGCTCGATAACTTCGAAGCAGCTGAAGCAGAACTTGGTCGAGTATCCTGCTGTGACTTGGGCAGATGTTCATAACAGGTACTAATCAAAGATTAGAGTCGAGGATGACAAGTTGGGAGCCCCCTTGGGCTCAGTTTATCCTAGCAGGTTACTAGCAAGGGAGTTAGTAAATGCAGACAGAGGGCCATGATCGAATAGCAAAGATATCAGCCATACATCGAAGATCGAAGGAATATGTCAAAGAAAAACATATATCGGAATCATCGAAGAGCAGATCAAGGTCAAAGTTCCCGGGGACTCATGACCAAAATCGGGTTTGATAGGCACTTGGGACCGGCAAAGGCGCCCAAAATATCGGAGTACAACTTCAGCGTCGATGCTTCAGGGATCGTCTCAGCCATTGGCAAAATTAGAGATACTAGATGGCCCAAGCCTATACAGACCGATCCTTCTAAGAGGAACCCCGACTTGATGTGCAAATATCATGGTAATCATGGGCACAAGACCGAAGATTGCAGGCAGTTAAGGGAAGAAGTGGCTAGGTTATTCAATTAGGGCCACCTTCGAGACTTCCTAAGTGATCAGGATAAGAATCACTTTAGGGAGAGAGATACAGGCAGGAAGAATGAACCTAAAGAACCTCAACATGTCATTCACATGATCATCGGTGGAGTTAACGTACCATAGAGGCCTTTATTCAAGTGTACCAAAGTATCCATCACAAGGGAGAAACGGACTCTGGATTACATGCCCAAAGACAACCTCACATTCAGCGAGGAAGACATCGAGGCTTTATCTCAACCTCAAAACGATGCATTTGGTAATTTCTATCCTTTTAAATAAAGTTCAAGTTACATGTGTTCTCGTGGATCCAGGTAGTTCAGCAAATATAATCCGATCAAGGGTCGTGGAGCAACTCAGGCTGCTCGATCAAATCATACCGGCATCTCGAGTCTTGAATGGCTTTAACATGGCAAGTGAAACAACAAAGGGAGAAATCATCCTCCCAGTCAACGTGGCCGGAACCATACAAGACACCAAATTTCATGTCATCGAAGGTGACATGAGGTATAATTCTTTGCTTGGAAGGCCGTGGATCCATAGCATGAGGGCGGTGACATCGACCCTTCATTAGATGATGAAGTTTCCAACAAAGGATGGCGTGAAAACAATATATGGAGATCAGCATACAACTAAGGAGATGTTTGCAGTGCATGACTTGACACCGATATCGGTACCATCAATATCGGAAAAGTCGAAGGACGATCAAGTGACCAAATAGCAATCATAGCCCATGCCCTCGGTTGAGCCCGAGGGACAAGTGTTCGACGAACAGGTTGCTGAGGACGAAGAAGACGATTTTCTCACCCCTCCAGCCTTCATCTCTCCCGAAGAATCGGATGCGACGAAGTCCATAGTTGAGGAACTCGAACAGGCCATATTGATGGAGTATCTTCCAAAACGAAAGGTATACATACGAACAGGGTTAACCCTTAAACTCAGGAAAAACTCACTCAATTTCTTATCAATAACGTTGATTGTTTTGTCTGGTCCCACTTAGACATGATAGGAATCCCACCGGAGATAACTACCCATCAGCTAAGTGTCGATCTCAGATTTAAACTGGTAAATACAAAGAGGAAAGCTCAGTCCGAGGTAAAGCATGCCTTCTTCAAAGAAGAGGTATCCAAACTTCTCAAAATAGGATCCATTAGGGAAGTAAAATATCCCGAATGGCTAGCTAACGTAGTGGTAGTACCTAAAAAGGGGAATAAACTTAGAATGTGCGTAGACTGCAAGGATTTGAACAAAGCATGCCCTAAAGATTCTTTCCCATTGCCCAACATCGATCGATTGATCGATGCTATGATTGGCCATGAGATTCTTACCTTTCTCGATGCCTACTCCGGGTACAATCAGATTCAAATGAACTCGGAGGACTAGGAAAAGACTTCGTTCATCACGAAGTATGGTACATATTGCTATAATGTAATGCCCTTCGGGCTAAAGAATGCAGGGGCCACATATCAACGCCTAGTTAATAAGATGTTCGAACATCAAATAGACAAATCCATGGAAGTTTATATTAATGACATGCTAGTTAAGTCCCTGTGTGCAGCGGACCATTTGTCTCATTTGCAGGAAACCTTCGACATCCTAAGAAAGTATAACATGAAGCTCAATCCTGAGAAATGCACTTTCGGAGTCGGCTCAGGCAAGTTCTTGGGCTTCATGGTGTCGAATAGGGGGATAGAGATCAATCCAGATAAAATCAAAGCCATCGAGGAGATCACTGTGGTGAATAATGTGAAATCCATACAACAGCTGACTAGGAGTAGCGCTGCCCTAGGCCAATTTATCTCGACGTCATCGAATCGGATCCATCATTTCTTTTCCCTACTCAAGAAGAAGAACAACTTTGTATGGACTCCAGAATGCCAGCAAGCCTTGGAAGAATTAAAATAGTATCTCTCCAGCCTACCCCTACTGCATACTCCGAAGAAGGATAAAACACTCTACTTGTATCTAGCCGTGTCCGAAGTAGCTGTAAGTGGCGTGTTGGTTCGAGAAGAGCAAGGTACGCAATTTCCTATCTATTATGTGAGCCGAACCCTAGGAGATGCTGAAACCGGATACCCCTATTTGAAAAAGTTAGCTCTTTCATTAATAAGCGCATCTAGAAAATTAAAACCATACTTTTAATGCCATCCTATATGTGTGCTGACTATATAACCATTTCAAAATATCTTGCATAAGCCCGAATTATCGGGTAGATTGGCCAAATGGGCCATCGAACTTGGAAGATATGATATTGAATATCAGCCTCGAACGGCTATCAAGCATCAAATTTTGGCAGACTTCGTGGCCGATTTCGCGCCCGCCCTCGTACCCGAAGTAGAAAAGGAAATCTTGCTAAAAAAAGGTACGTCATCGGGGGTGTGGACCCTCTTCACAAATAGTGCCTCGAATGTAAAAGGGCACAGGCTCGGTATCGTTTAAAAGCCACATACGAGCTGCGTCATTAGGCAGTCTATCAAAACTCCTAAATTGACTAACAATGAGGCCAAGTATGAGGCCATGATTGCAGGTCTCGAACTAGCCAAGGGCCTAGGCGCAAAGGTCATCGAGGCAAAATGTGACTTCTTTTGGTAGTAAATCAAGTAAACGGGAGCTTCGAGGTTCGAGATGACCGAATGCAGAGGTACTTGGACAAACTTCAAGGGACATTGCACCGCTTCAAGGAGTGGACGCTAGATCATGTACCTCGAGAGTAGAATAGCGAGGTCGATGCACTTGCAAACTAGGGTCATCGGTTGAAGAAGATGATATCCTCCCGGGGACTATCGTCCAACTATCGAAGTCAGTGGTCGAAGAAGGCCATACAAAGATTAATTCAACAAGTTTAACGTGGGATTGGAGGAATAAGTACATCGACTACCTGAAACATGTGAAGCTCCCTGCGGCCCAAAGGAGTCAAGAACACTTCGAACCAAAGTAGCTCGATTCTCACTCGATGAAGATGGAACGTTGTACAGAAGAACCTTTGATGGACCACTGGCAGTGTGCTTGGGACCCGGGGA